ATAAAGCTATGGGCAGTCTATCACTGGTGCAGGCTCTTCCTGGCAATATATTAGTTCATTTTTTGTAAGACATTTACACATCTATAAGGAACGTTAAGATGAAGCCTATTTCATATTAAAAAATATTGATTAGACCAGACCAATTTAATATCTTGTAGGGCTGGGACGTGTCCCAATTTAGAAACCAGGCTACCCAACCCCCTGTTACCCAAGTCTACCCAGGTACCCGATGTAGGTTTCAAATTGGGGTACACGATGTCAGATTGGTAATCATTTTACAGGAGCCCTGTCAAACATTATTTAGATTCACCTAACTAAGAGTCAAGTGAGCTAATATCTTGGCCTGTTTGTCCATTGTAAACTTCTTCTAAAAAAACACTCGACCAATAAAGCTGAAATGTAACATGCTTCTTAAAATTCCCACCGATGATGACACCCCAATTTGTTCAAATCTGATTTTCAATATGGCCACCACAGCAGTCCATACATAGTGTTCTTATTGGTTGAGTCAGTTGAGTCTCTATATTAACCATAATCTTTACTGTTTTATCTTTCATTGAAAATGAGAAATGATCTGAAACATGACAATTTAGTTTGTTGTGGCCTTTAATACATGTCAAACCAGCCGCTTCCCATCTTGGATGTTTTTCTATTGGATGAAGATGCTTTGTATACTACTCAAAAGAAAGGGGAACACCCATTTGTTTCATGACATGACATAGTAATGAAAAAATTGAGTGTTCTTTAACTTCTTTGGAGTTGTATTGTCATGAAGTAATTGAATGAAGACTATTCAATAATAAGAATAGTCGCCGCTGATGTGTACATGTCATGGGGGGTAATTTTGTTTATCTGCCATTTCGTTGCCGGTTCAACAATTATATGCACCTGATTCGTATTTTTTTTTAATTAATGTAACCACATGTGTCCCAGTATTGACATTGTGTCATGCCTTGCCTTGCATTGCCTGTATGACGATGAAATAACAAACTGCCAGTACATGGTCTTGAATGACTTCCGGAGATTTCTTAGTCTTCTTTTCTTGTATATTTAATATACCCTGAAAAATCATCGGGAAAATAATTATTTCTAAGGAAATGTGTAACAAAATCCTAATTATGTTTTTCTTGTATGGCATTTATTCCCTAATTGTTGTTTTCGTCTTCACTGTTGTTAATCATGTCACGTTATTCCCAAACCAGTGATTTTGTATCGAGCTACCTGTGTTACCATGGAAACAAAAGAGCTAAATATCAAGAAAGAAAAGACTGAATCTTTTATTAGCTTTATTATAATTGATTTGGTCATCATTCAAACATTTAATTAAAAACATCGCAAAAATTCTTCACAAGGAACAATGAGGAATATTTCTAGCGTTCCTATTGAAGACTATATATATGGTTGGTGAACAGATCAGTGTGTTGTGTATACTAACAGCTGGTATAATGAATGATGAATTGGCTTCATTCTGTCAGTAACACCACACCACAGGGCAGCCATTAGCCTTGTGATGTGGTCTAGTTGGGAGGTAGCAGTCAAACATCTATAATGGCGTGACAGCATCATCGGTCTTGAATACATCATCGCTCCTCTCTCCTGACATAGCTGCCATTCAGACTCCATGATCAATATTGGACTTATATGAGTATTAAAAGCTCACATGGCCAAATAAGGGAATATTTGAAGAGAAAAACCCTAATATAGCCTTATTGTAAACTATGTCCAAGTCAGAACCACAGCACATTAATCTTTTCAGGCCTGTTTGCTGGAATAACAGATAAATCCAGCCTGATCCAATCACCCTGATATCTCCTCAAGGCAACCTTTAGATCACTTGAGCTTATATTGAGTGAGTGAGTGAGTACTGCTAAAAGGTGTGGTGAGGTGAAATGGGGTTTAACGTCGCGTCCAAGATTATTGCACTTATATAGCAACGTGTGTGTGTGGCTGCTTAATTGTACTAGTCTGGACTGATGCCGATTTATAGTGCTAGCTCACTGAGATACCATGCCGCAGTTTAACATGAATACCCCACTCAGACACAGTATACTGACTCCGAGCTGACCAGTCCTTGTTTTAGCCCCTTAATGCCGAGCGCCAGACAGGGTAACAACAAGTACCATCTTTTAAGGTCTTTTGGTATGACGCGGTCGGGAATCTTATTCCGGACCTTCCGCTCTCCGGGCGGACGCTCTACCATTAGACCACAGAGGCGGTCTAAACTGCTTATAACAATATTACAGCACTATAACAGAGGAGGACACAGAAATGGGCTTCAGGTATTACCCATGTCAAGAATCAAACCCGTGTTTTCGGCACTATGAGTGATAAAGGTTTCCTAAGTGAGGATACTGTCATGGTGACTGATTTACGACACCCATTGTCTGAAGAACATTTGATTGCAAAGCTTCCCTACCCTGGAGCCATGACATCTATATGCCTTGAAACATTTAATTGCTGTTATTTATAAGATGCTAATCCTAATTGTTAATCCCCAGTTTTGTGTACATCGACCGTCTGTCATCCTGAACAGGATGTGCAAGTATGTCACTGATGATTTACTGTTTACATTTATATTTATTCCTTACTAAATGTCAGGTGACCTTGGCTATATAAGCCTTGGTCCAGATAGGAAGAAGGAAAAAAGAAAGGTCTTACCCTTAGCCTAGCTAGGGTTAGGCTGGGTGCTCCGGGGCACCTAGACAACAACCACTACCACTATGTGCTGACCTGGCACATAGTGTCTTTTGTATGTATATATCTACACGTATGAAGTAAAACTGTATATACCGCAAGCCACTGTCTCCAAGTTGTCACTTCCTACAGGAACCATACGTCGGGCCCTTGTATATATACGAGTATGCAAATTGTTCATTATTCAACGTCGGACCGCCACACGTTGATAATACACTGCTGTTTTGAAAAGGAGGGATGGGGGGGGGGGGGGGGGGGGGGGCGGTGATCATAAGTTATCATACTGTGGTTTGATGAATGGACAGTAGTTTTGTGTTTGGCAATTGTTTTATGTTTAATAATTTTTAAGGCATATCCCAAAATGTGTTTCTTATCGTGTTGTAATATGTTTGCTCTTGGCATACTTCTTACGTGTAGAAAAGTCTAAAGGAATAAATGTTTCAAGAGGAGGTGTGTGCACAAGACATGCACTGTATTACTGGCATACCATGCTTTGAAATGCTGATGAATATGTATCACAATACGGTTCGGACCCCCCCCCCCCCCCCCAAATTTTTTTTTTTAAATTGCGTTTTTCAAAATCATGCATTTTTTCATCTTGTTGGCAAAGTTTTCAAAAGCAAAAAGTCAAAATGAAATTCAGAAATTAGCAACTTGATTCCTGTGTTCAAAAAGAGATAGTACTTGCGACCGTCTTCCTGTATATAATGTGTCTATTATGTGACCATAGCAACGGCCAACAACATGGTGGACGAAGTTGTCAGAAGTGTGCAGGGGAAGTCTGATGTTTGTATTCAGGTTTATAAAAAAATTACAGAAGAAAGAAAGCGTGCAATATATTGCGATAGCTAGCCATCACTAAAGGACATCCACAAACATGTCATAAACTGTCAGAGGGTGTTGGGGACATTGAGCCTTTAGTATCAGAGAGATGAAGCATCTATCAGGGAGAATTTTAAAATAGCAACATTAGATTTAAATGTAATCCAGTCATCACACTCTATCAAATTACAATGGCTTAGCACCTCAAAGGCCAATTTTCCTCATCCATAATAACTGAACATGCTTTCTAGGCCTTCATGTATGCACCAAACAAGCAACTCGAGAGAATGATAATAATTTAAATTTATACCAAATTAATGTCTTTTTCTAAAAAGGACAAATATTGACTGATATGAGTCTAGATGTAGCATAAAATTTGTATCTACATGTATTTGCATTTTTGATTTCAAATGTCATCAATCATATTGTCAGTTAATAAAGACATAATTTGAATATAAACTTTTTCAGCCAATAGGAATATGTAGCTGTACACACAGTACCTGTTATATTGACTCGTGTATCATTCGGCCTGGTAGGATACAATTGGGTCAATAATCAGAGAAAGATTCACAACCTACCCATAGTACTTTAGGTCAAAAATCATCTCAGACTAAAATAACATCCACAGATATTGAAAACAAATGATTGGCGAATGACCATTTGACATTTGACATACGTTTTACTATGATTTTTGAATGAAATGTGCCTTGTTTTCGTCGTTGACCTTTCTGACCTAGACGTGTAGTCATTGGTTGACTAATACTGTTGTATGCAAATTACATTTCCAATGTGATCCGCGAGCAAAATATTACCCAATCAGCTTGCGTTAAAGAATCACATGATACATTCTTGCAAAATTTCAATGTGTGGACATTACTGTGCAGACAAGTCATGATGTCAGCTAAAAGGCAATTAACACAAGGTTTACTTGAACTTTGACTTTGAAACCCTATGAGGAATCCTGATCATGTAACTCATTATTTCGACTTCCGAATGAACCAATCACGCATAGTGTTGTTTCTGGATACAGCGCGTGCAGGTCATGTTTTGTTTCCATTCACAAGAGTTTAATGGTGCAACTTCATGGTATTTTGACATTTTAACATAGTTTCTGATAATCTGAAAACCAATAAAGTCATGTATAACTGGGCCGGTGATGTATATCTACGCATGAATTAAATTTTGCAGTAATAGCTGATTATTCATTTCAAATTCAACCCCTCACACCTCCCTTCGACTATCTGAGTTTTCTTTACAGTTTAGTTAAATCGTTCCCCATATGGACTAAAATAACAGCTAATTACTGGACAAAGGCCCATCCGGGTCAAACGGGGCCCTCCTCTGGTTGATGATCGTGATGAAGGTCACTCCCGAAGTATCACATGTATGCATCCAAGCACCACCTTCTGGATCCCAACTGGAACCTGGATCCTGGATCACTGTACATGAATGTTACATTAACAACAGTTAATTCTTGTTTACAGGGGAGTGAGGTTCCTGCAGATTCTGCGTATGTTGCACGTGGACCGACAGGGCGGTACTTGGCGTCTTCTAGGTTCTGTAATATATCTACATAGACAGGTATGTCAAAAAAAGAACACAAAATAATCTGATTAATATTTGTTTAAAGTCAGAAAATAGGTAGTTTAGTAGTTAGTGGTTTACCGGTTTGGGATGATACGCATCATTATCACACATACCATATTCGACGTAATTAGCGCCCGGCTCTAATAAGCGCCCACAGCAATATTTGCTAATATATTGGCTGGTGAACAATCCTAATTAGCACCCCTTCCTATTGATCAATGTACACAAGACTTATTTATTTGTGTATAATACAGACTCGTGTGTTCTATGCACCCTTAATTATCGGCAATTAAATTCTGGAAGAATATATCTGTTGTATATAAACATTTCAGGCTGTCAGCATAAACCATGAACTTTACGATCGTTTAACTCTGTTGTTTTTCACCAAAATAATATTCTAATAAGAGCCCCCTTTTTCTAATTTTGAGAGCACCCTAGGAGCTTATTACGTCGAATACGGTAGTCATGTCAGTCTGTGGGAGCGTCAGTGTCCGGTGCTTGTCCTGGACAGGGGTTGTTGTGAGCTCCTTTACCACAAGGCTGTAAATACAAATGACTTTTCATAATTTATAGTTTTTTCCAGGAATCGTGACTAGCATGCTGTAGAAGATAATTAAATGTCCTTCCAATCTGATAAACAGTCTTCTTGATTATCTGAATTATTATACAAGATCACCAGTTGAGCACAATCCATCAGGTTCTGGTCTGGTATTTTCAAACAGTTCGTATTTATTAAAAGTGGCCATTCAAGGGATGTGTTTACACTGAAGTGGTTTAAACGTATTTTTATTTCAAAAGAAGTCTGGATTGGTAGACAAGCAAAACTTTCTTATGTAAATACCTCTCCAGGTACTAACTTAACAACAGCGGGTTATATATGAGAGTGCTAAACATGAACATACTAAAGTACCATGAAGTAGAGAGGATTCACTGCGCCTGTAGTATCAACAAAGAGAAATTTGGATTGAATACAGAATATAATCAAAAGTGGTTTTAACACAAATAAAATTGATGAAAAGTAGATTTGTGTCAGGTATTACTGAACACATAACACTATAACTAATTTCCGCTGTGTTCTCATTACAATACAAATATCTAACGTTTACATTGAACCTTTCAATGTGAATGATATTCAAATGTTCCGTGAAGATCCGGGGTAGAATAGGTCTTCGGCAACCCATGCTTGTCGTAAGGGGCGACTAACGTGATTGGGTGTCAGGCTCACTGACTTGGTTGATACATGTCATCGTATCCCAATTGCGTAGATCAGTGCTCATGATGTCCATCACTGGATTGTCAGGTCCAGATTTGATTATTTACAGACCACAGTCATATAGCTGGAATATTGCTGAATGCAGCGTTAAACAACAAACAAACAAACAATCATATTCATATGTAATGACCCGCAATGTGAGAAAAACATGAAAATTAACATTTTGTTTGGTAATAGCTGCTTGTTTGGTAATAGCCAACACCGCTCTAGACCTCAATCAAGATTTTATTGACATTTATAATATTTTCCCTTTTGTTTGATGTGACATATTTGTTCTTCCAGGAGTTAATTACAACACTGTACATAGGATTCCTGGGCCTTATATTTTCCTCCTACTTTGTGTATTTGGCGGAGCGTGAGGATGGCCGGAAAGACTTCTCCAGCTATGCAGACGCCCTCTGGTGGGGAGTGGTGAGTAGGCAAACTTGGTTGAAGCTGCCATGTACCATTCTCTTTATTACATGTTTTGTGTATATGATAAAACACGTCCGAGGGTTGTTATGACATTTAAAACCCGCATCCCAAGGGATTTTCCGAGGGAAAGGGTTTTAAATATCACAACAACCCGAGGGGAAGTGTTTTATCTTACTTATAAACCGAGAAAAGAAACTTAAAACATCATTTATCAACATTTTTATCTTTCGAACATACTTTCCATGAACCTTAGGAAACGGGCGTAAAATAACTGTTGCTGGCGTATGGATCAACACCTCTGTAGCCTTGTGGTACACTCACTGGGCTACAGATATGAAGGTTGCGAGTTCGATCCTCAGGAATTTAAAGAAAACATTTGTCATTTGATTTTACATTACATGTTACAATCTGAACGGAAGTTATATTAATAAAATCCCTGGGATATTATAAAACATTATATAGCAAATATGACTTGAATATCCTATAAAATCCCGGGGATATTATATAAAATCCCAGGGACATTACAATGTCCCTGTTTGTGAGATTTAACCCGACTGGAGAACAATAGGATGACGTCACCGGAGGTTTATAATGTTAAATGATGCACTCAGCGAGTCTGGTCACCACTGAGTGCTACCTAGAGGCTTCCAGACACACCTATTAGTATCATGACTTTCTCCCTGAACATGAAGCTTAATTAAATGTATGAACTGTTGTTTATTTTTATTGATATACCATACAACAGTGTTGTTAACAAACAAAACTGTGACGTTTGCATTATGACTGCCATTGCACAAATCTCCACAATTTCTGTCTTCCCTTTCACATTGACAGTTTCACACTCTCGTAACCCCACACAGGTCTCGGGGACATGGGTAACCAATGCCTCTAAAGAATTCACTGTGCAGGTTGCCTCCCCTAGTTGCGCCAGGATTCAATGATCATTATAACTATTTTACGTTGAAAGTTGAACTACATTAAACTATGGATATAACGAACTAAAAGGGACCATTCATTATTGGTTGTTATAACCATAGTCCATTATAAGCATATATTGCATATATACAGAAAATGCCTGGGATGAAAAAACATGTTATATCTGTCAGTTGTTTATAAGCATGTTCGTTATAAACATAGTTTACTGTACATAGTTGAAGCTTGTTGAACATGTTGGTATGTCTGCACTTATTCCATGAAATATGAAGGCGCTGTTCCACAGTAGCAGCAAGAGGCCATACACAAGATCTCCAAGTCTACAGGGCCTTGTATTATATAGAAAGGACTTAATGACAATATTCATAGAGCACAGACACAGGGGAAACAGCATAAGGGAAAATTTTGTCTCGGCCTATATACTGCTGAAAAGATGCTTTCATGTCACTACGGTTAATCTGTCGTGATAAGTTAAAGGACAGCCGATTTTGTCATGTGACGATAGTTAACTGTTTGATAGGCATTCTTGAAGCTGGAAAGTAAGTAAAAAAAAATGTAAATTTATAATATAATGTGCGTAATAACTTCTGATTTATTGCATATAGCGACATTTTGATGGAGATTATTACACCATTATCAAGCTGGAATGTAAGAATCTACAGCAAAACGTCACTATTTGCTATCGTTATCCATAAGTTTTCTGATGATATTTAATATGCTCTGAAAGATTATCTATGGTAATATGAAAGAATCATGTGTTCTTTAACTTCTTTGGAGTAATATAGAAAAGATTATGTTGCTGTCTGTTTCAGATTACTGTGATGACTATAGGTTACGGAGACAAGGTGCCCCAAACATGGATGGGGAAGATAGTAGCCTCCTGTTTTGCTGTGTTCGCAATATCCTTCTTTGCTCTTCCTGCCGTAAGTTGTCAAGATAATAATTTGTCTTAACAGAAATCTGACTGGATGTTGTCATAGAATGTGCGTTTCAGGTTTTAAGATCTAAACATGTAAAAATCAGAATTAAAAGTACTTGCACAAGAGTTTGCAAGAGACAAATTAATACTGACATGATTTCTGTGGCCATGCAACACAGAAATGAGATATGACAGTTGTGTCTTACCATGACAGCTTCCTGCTATGATACATTCTCTCTTAGTCTCCAGGGCGTGCATTTTGGTATACCTACACTAACATGTAACATATGACAACCAAGGGAATGAATCCACGGGTATTGTAGGTTTACCCAAATGTTGGTGTTTAACCCCTGGCAGCCTAAGACGTCTAGTGGACAGAGCATCTGCCTGGAGAGCAGAAGGTTGATCCCCATCTTCCCGAGGCAAGTGTGTTAACTGACAATAAAAGTCCAGTTTCCACCCATGGAGTTACAGTTTGGCTGGACTAACGAGTCTCTGCATAGTCCGATCAAAATCGTGTACCAAAAACGAAATCTGGTTAGTAAACTGTCGTGCAGATTTCGGTGGTTTGCAGGATTTTCAAAGCATGGGCACTGCCAACTCGTTGTCAACAGATATTTTCCAAATCTTTTCATGTTTTTAATTAAGGTGTTCCCGTGATTTGATGCACTTTGCGATGTTAGACCCATTTTATCACAATATAGATCTTTATTATTAATCAGAACGCCTTGACTGGGCGCCGCCATTTTGTTTGAAATAAATGCAAGTGATACGAGAGGTGGAATCTGATTGGTCCATAGGAGAGGCTTAGAAGGGACATAACTCTTTATTACCACTGGTGGCGCTATGATCGAGCCCAGGAATTCTAGCCTAGTTCGGCAAGGGTGGAAACTTAACTGACTTTATAAGTCCACTCTCTTGCCTCGGGAAGATGGTCGATCCCTGGCTGCATCATACCAAAAGAAGTTAAAAGATTGTACTTCTTGTTACCCTGGCACTTGACATTGATGGGATAAAACGAGGAATGATGTCAGTATACAGTGTCTGAGTGGGAAAAATATGTTCAAAGCAACATTCAATTAAGGACTGGATTTTTTTAGTTCATTGAGGTATGAATCGAAAAGACCGATGTGCAAATTGTATGAATCCGCGTTGCACATCGGTTTTTCACGTGACCAATTCAGCTAATCAGAATGCAGGAATTACAATGAACATGTTGTCAAAAGTCATTGCCTCAGAAACCAATTGTTCTTCAGCCCCCAAATAGCCAGGCTCGGTATATTGTTTAACAGCTATGACTGTTCTACTGCCTCATCAAGCTCCACACAGTGCCAGAGAGACATTACATTACAGTTTCCCATGAGCAACTGAAGAGCACTTTCACAGCACAAAGAAGCTTGCAAACAGTGAATGCAAACTTTAGATTTTGTTTTTCAGAACTACTTGTTTGAGACGACAATAGATTTGTTAGTGTATTTGTTGTTGAGAGCTTCACTTTAATTCCAAGCAGAATGAAGTGATTTATTTGAGATTTGTTCCGATCTCGTCATATCCTGGACATGTAATCACTTCGTGATGGAGGTTTCAACTTCAAAGAGAGACAAGATTTCAAAGAGTTTAGGATTTCAAAGGATCTAAAAAACACCTTGGCCGTCAGTATTTACACGTACTCAGGAAGGTCGGGTATGGGAACCAAAAGTCACTATACAGAAGCGCACCATTGTATCTAGTTCAGAGCTTTCAAGATATTGATGAAGGTATACATCTATAATTTGATCTTTGTCGATCTAATTTATGATGCAACTATGTTCGAGGTGGTACAGTATTACAGTATAAATGCTGAATTGGAATTATAGTGATAGGATAAAGAGGTAAATGCTGAATCAGCAATATTTCATTACCAGGATATTGAATAAATGCTGATTCAGCAACATACAAATACAGAAATATTGAGCTGAATGCTGAATAAGCAATATTTAGATATAAGGATATTGAGCTGAATAAGCAATATTTAGGTATAAGGATATTGAGCTGAAAGCTGAATAAACAATATTTAGGTATAAGGATATTGAGCTGAATGCTGAATAAACAATATTTAGGTATATGGATATTAAGTTGAATGCTGAATAAGTAATGTATAGTTATAAGGATACTGAGCTGAATAAGCAATATTTAGTTATAAGGATACTGAGCTGAATAAGTAATGTATAGTTATAAGGATACTGAGCTGAATAAGTAATGTATAGTTATAAGGATACTGAGCTGAATGCTGAATAAGCAATACAGTCAAGTCTCTTTAATCCGACACTCATTAATCTGACAATCGGCTTTATCTGACACTAATGATGGGAACCGATAACGGGACTTCACTATTTAGTTATCCAGATACTGAGCTGAATAAGCAATATTTAGTTATAAGGATACTGAGCTGAATGCTTAATAAGCAATATTTAGTTTTTGGGATATTGAGCCGAATAAGCAATATTTAGTTATAAGGATACTGAACTGAATAAGCAATATTTAGTTATAAGGATATTGAGCTGAATGCTGAATAAGCAATATTTAGTTATTGGGATATTGAAATGAATGCTGCATAAGCAATTTTTTAGTTATTGGGATATTGAAATGAGTTCTGAATAGTCAGTATTTACTAAGTGATATTTAGGTCAATGCTGAATATGCAATATTTAGTTCAGTATCATAAGTGAGATAAATGCTAAATTTAAACCATACAGTTTGGCATATTGAGGTATTCCTTGAATTTGTCAGCAGTATACACATGTTGAGGTGTCACTCACTCACTCACTCACCTACAATCACTCACTCACTCACTCTGATACAAGCACATGCTCACTCCCTCCCTGGTTCTTGCCTACAGTAACTTTTGTATCAGTGGACAAACTAAAAAAGTATGGATTTATTTGGTGATACCCCTGCTCCATTAGTCAAGCTCTGTGAAGTGTTAACCCTCTCTGCCCAACTCATACATGGCAACACAATCACATCACAAGCCATTGCCTTGATTTGAAGCGTTCCATGAGAAGTGTGATGTCTTAATCACCATGAAGTATCCTCATAAATATTTTATTTGCTTTATGTCATTGAATAGCTGTGTGGTTCAACCTCTGTGTCTGAGACAAAAGACTTGCTGTATCCCTTGAAGACAGTAAGTGAATTTGTGGCTGCATCTCCACTTTGTAAGTGATTGTGATGAGATGTGTGAAGGGATTTGTCAAGACGGAGGCTGGGGACTAGCCCAACACTGTCCAGTTTCTGTCATCTTGCCACTCAGCCAGGCTGCATATTTATCTCACTATAAGCTGTAATTATCACAGAAACAAGATTTATTCCTAGAATGATCACTGGGTTGTTGAGGCATTGTGTCTGTAAACAAGCTACTAAGGGATCTTGATAAGCTGATGTGGCAGAGACACCATTACTCTGTGTCATGCTCACGATTGTTGGAGAGGCTGTGCGTGGATGTTAGACTACAACAGGGGCACTTCTCTGTGTGTCAAGAGGCTGTACGTGGATGTTAGACTACAACAGGGGCACCAACGTGTTTGTCAAGAGGCTGTAAGTGGATGTTAGACTACAACAGGGGCACCACCGTGTGTGTCAAGAGGCTGTACGTGGATGTTAGACTACAACAGGGGCACCACCGTGTGTGTCAAGAGGCTGTATGTCGATGTCAGACTACAACAGGGGCACCACTGTGTGTGTCAAGAGCCTGTACGTGGATGTTAGACTACAACAGGGGCACCACCGTGTGTGTCAAGAGGTGAAGTGGATGTTAGACTACAACAGGGGCACCACTGTGTGTGTCAAGAGCCTGTATGTGGATGTTAGACTACAACAGGGGCACCACCGTGTGTGTCAAGAGCCTGTACGTGGATGTTAGACTACAACAGGGGCACCACTGTGTGTGTCAAGAGGTGAAGGGGATGTTAGACTACAACAGGGGCACCACCGTGTGTCAAGAGCCTGTATGTGGATGTTAGACTACAACAGGGGCACCACCGTGTGTGTCAAGAGGTGAAGTGGATGTTAGACTACAACAGGGGCACCCCTGTGTGTGTCAAGAGGTGAAGTGGATGTTAGACTACAACAGGGGCACCACCGTGTGTGTCAAGAGGTGAAGTGGATGTTAGACTACAACAGGGGCACCACCGTGTGTGTCAAGAGGTGAAGGGGATGTTAGACTACAACAGGGGCACCACTGTGTGTGTCAAGAGGCTGTATGTGGATGTTAGACTACAACAGGGGCACCACTGTGTGTGTCAAGAGGTGAAGGGGATGTTAGACTACAACAGGGGCACCACTGTGTGTGTCAAGAGGTGAAGGGGATGTTAGACTACAACAGGGGCACCACTGTGTGTGTCAAGAGGCTGTATGTGGATGTTAGACTACAACAGGGGCACCACTGTGTGTGTCAAGAGGTGAAGGGGATGTTAGACTACAACAGGGGCACCACTGTGTGTGTCAAGAGGTGAAGGGGATGTTAGACTACAACAGGGGCACCACTGTGTGTGTCAAGAGGCTGTATGTGGATGTTAGACTACAACAGGGGCACCACTGTGTGTGTCAAGAGGTGAAGGGGATGTTAGACTACAACAGGGGCACCACTGTGTGTCTCAAGAGGCTGTATGTGGATGTTAGACTACAACAGGGGTACCACCGTGTGTGTCAAGAGGTGAAGTGGATGTTAGACTACAACAGGGGCACTTCTCTGTGTGTCAAGAGGCTGTATGTGGATGTTAGACTACAACAGGGGCACCACCGTGTTTGTCAAGAGCCTGTATGTGGATGTTAGACTACAACAGGGCACCACCGTGTTTGTCAAGAGGCTGTATGTCAATGTTAGACTACAACAGGGCACCACCGTGTTTGTCAAGAGGCTGTATGTGGATGTTAGACTACAACAGGGGCACCACCGTGTGTCAAGAGCCTGTATGTCAATCTTAGACTACAACAGGGGCACCACCGTGTGTCAAGAGCCTGTAT